GTCATCAAACGCTTCATCGAGATAAATTCTTTCTTGCATAACAATTTGGAAGCAACAGAATGATAAAAATAAAAAGTGAAAAAAGGAATCAAAACCAACTTTCTTGTATTTTCTCTCTATATACATAGTGTTCCATTAACTATACAATTTTGTGAAGTACTGTCAGATAAGAAATAGTTGAGCACATTGTCATTAATTTTGATTGTATTATCAATATTTTCTTACTTTTAACTGTATTGTATTGCATTAAAAGTGATGTTTTTTTTAAATTAAAATTTGAGCTACTTGTAACTCGCCTTGAACATTTAATTGAATAATATGCAAATTAGTTTGTGTTTTTTGTTTCGATTATTATTAATAATTAGTAACTATGTGAAAAGGATTGAAAAAATTTTTGTGGTATTATTAAGTATAAGAGGAAGTTATTGCGCTGCTGATCAATTTTCATTCAATTATTATCGACCGAATACAAAAGCGCCAAGTAAAATAGTATGGCAAAAAGTCATTGGTAAATGGCTGTGTATTTGTGAAAGGTTGGATGAGATCAGCCTTAGACTAGAGATGGTATTTTTTTTTCCAAATTCTAAGCATTTTAATATCATTTGGTCACACAGTTTGACTAAGGGCAATTTGAAGCTAACGTATTTCAAATTATTTTGACCAGTGTCATGTATTCAGCTTTCGTTTTAATACGTGAGAAAATTTTATCCAAGCCTTTACGATGCAAAAATGTTTCAGATTGAAAAATGGCAAAAAAAACTAACAAAGCTGAAGCTTCATTTCATGTATGACTTTCATCATTTAATAAGTGAAATTTTTGACTTTTATTTTAATTGATCAAGTAATATGTATAAAATTGATTATTGATATTCTTGAATGATTACAGGAAATTGTGATTATTTGATTCAAAAAATTGCTAGGCACAGATGGTGCGTCATTGGCGAAATGCCTTTGTATATTAATACTTCTTAATAATTTGAATATAATATCACAATTTTCGGTATTTTCATTTAACATAATTTGAAAATTTTTAGGTCAAAAAAGTTTGCTACTGATCATATTTGACATATTAAATTTAATAATTTATGCAAAACGTACTTCTTCTACCTTCAACTTTTTCACGACCTTTTTTTGTATTTTATTATAGATTTATTAATTTGAAAAATTTATTATAACCTAGAAAGTCAAAGTTTTGTGTTTAATAAGCTATAAATATTTATTGTTATATTATTTTTCACAAAAGTTAAAGGAGGAAAGTCTTCAAAAATCACATCTATATTTTATGAGTTTTTTAAATTTATCCTCAAATTATTTTCTCGAAATTTTGGTAATAGTAAAAAAACAAAGGCTACATTATATGTGTATTTCTTGTTGATGAAATACATTGAATATTTTTATTATTTTTTTATCTGAAACACTTGAACATGATTTCAGGAATTCGATGACTTTCTTGTTGATATTTGATAACAAATAAATATTATTGTAAAAGTCGAATTGTTCAAAACTTCAAATTATTTAATTGTTTTTGCAGTTCAAATTATTTAATTGTTTTTACGCTGGATCTGTTTAAAAATTTGTGAAATTTCAAATTCGAAAAAGTTTAGGGATGCAAAGAAGTTCTCTCAGATAAGAAAGCTAAACGTGATGATGGACGTACTATATCGAAGGAAGAAGAGGAAAAAGCTTTTGAACCAGAAAGTAAGGAAGACATTTTTTAGGTTAATCTCTTGAAAAAGTCTGCTCAGTCCCAGATATTCTGTTTGTATTGCACTAATTTTTTATTTTGTAAAGAATAAATTGAAATTTAAAATTATTTATAGAGGTTAACATTTATTTTAGCTTGTTGTAGTTTCTGGAATTTCAGATGAAGATCCCCAAAAAGATGCATCAAATCCGTGTTTAAATTGTGAAAAGATGCAAATTGAGAAACTTATACTTGATATAAAGGTTATAATCATTGACATTCTTATCAATTAAGTTATGACTTTTGATAAGTAATTACTTGATCTAATAACTATCGCTAGATCCGATGTAATAATTTTAGATGAGTGATTTGGAAAAGAGAATAAAGCAATATCCAAGAGTTACTAGGCGCGGCTTACAAATAGGTGATTTGAAACAGGTAATAAAGCAAACTAATAACTAATTATATCTAATTTGATTTTAGCTTACTGTATTTAGTATTATTGTATTAAAGTGAGTATTTGTATATGAAATTAGTGACAATTGAAAAATGGATAATAGAATCTTTTCATCTAAAAAAAATTATGTCAAGTATTATGGTGCTTTTTTATCTGTAAAACTTGCTACTTAGCAGAAATCCTAAGAAATAAATAACTTACGGGTAATTTTCATTACTATTTATATTTGTTTGACAAAAAATATGGCATTTTAATATTAATCATTTTAAAATAGAAAGCAACACTTTGAATATTCAAAATACAATACCAAAAATGTAAATACAAATCTAAAATTAAAAAATTGATTTTTTAAACATAAAATAAAATAGTACCAAATTTTTTTGTCAAATGAAGAAGTCAAAAAGGAAAGTTTTAGTTAGCAAAAAGTCTTCATGAAGAATATAATCAAATTAGCACAAATTGCATGGCTAAAATAGAAACATTGGAGAGTAGAATCCGAGAGACTAAACTGGATGTAGAGCAGTGGAAAAAAAAAGTAAGCAGCTTTTTTTTTATTTTAAATTGAAATTTTTTTGTCAAAATAAAAAATTTACATACAAATAATGAAAGCCTTTACGAACATAATAAGCAAACTACAAAAAATTAAACACATTAATAAAAAAGGAAAAATTGTTGAAACAAATGTTTTTCTTGGCTTATTGAGTGAGCATTTTTTCCAATTTAAGCTGTTTGATATTAAAGAGCGAATTTCGATTCTCAAATTGTCATTGAAAATAGAAAGCTCTAAAAACTCAAAGTTGGAAAAAACAGTTAAGGTAATAATTATTTGGTATTCAATCTTAGCTTCAATTTTTTTTATTCTTAGCAACGCAACAGTTTTAGTTTTTAATTTGAAATATTTGAAAAAGAATCTGTCATAATTTTCTGATTATATTTAGCTCTATTTTTCTGCAAGCAATAACACAGATTCCATATACATGGTCTGAAATTTCAAAATTTATAAATTAATTTCACTTTAAATGTCATCAAATTTTATTTAAAAATGATTAATTGGGCAGATAAATTTGAAATTTTTTAAAAATTTCAGGAGATCGAGGCAGGCTTTTTGGCACGACTTGACACACAAAAAAAAAATATTGAAAATTTTACAGAAAGTAACTCATTAGTTAAAAGAGATGTGTGTGCTGCAATGAAAACAAAACTTTTGCTACAGAAAGCAGAAGTAAGAAGGCTAAATACACAAAACAGCAAACTTAGTGAATACCTTGAAAAAGTTGAAAATGTAAAAAAAACGTCTGCTGATAGAAATGAGAATATATTTTATCGTTTGATGGAAACAAGATTAAGAAAAGTAGTAAGCACAATACGAAATGAAGCTCGTAACTCGAATTTTACGTGGATAAGGGAAGAAAGTCTAGTACGTATAGCAGATAAATTTGAAATTGTAGTTGAAACGATATTGGAGAAAGAACCGAGCCTAGCATATTTCATTAATCGCTTGAAAGCATATGATGAACAAGAAATGAAAAAGATACAAAAGGTTTTTGTAATCATTTTTTTTTCTAAGTTGAATTTTAAAAATATTTAAACTTTGAAAACATCTCAACTCTAAATTAAATGCATTCTTAATTCTATAAAAGTTTACTTCTCTGAAAAACTTTAACATACAAATTAAATGAAGCAAAATTGTGAGCTAACTAAAGAATCTACAAAGACATTTATTTATTCTACTTTAGGACGACGCTGCACAAGTATTACGTTCAGATGTTAAGAAAATGTTGCAAGAATTTTTGAAAACACAAAAATCCAAAAATGATGCAGAAATATTAAAATGTTATAATTATTTGTACACTGTCGAAAAGGTTACTATCAGTTTATTATTGTTCACTTTTTGCAGATAAAAATATAATAATGTTGAGAACTAGAAAAAAAGTCATTTGTAAGCTGAGTTAAAAATTATGCATTATGATTTTACGTGAACAATATAAGTAATTAAGAGGAGTCATCGATAAGATTAATTTAGTCTTTTTCTTAAATCTTGCAATATAAATTTTTAGTTAGATACAGTGATATGTTAAAACATAAAAAATACATTTTTTTCTTAGAAAATTGAGAGAAAACTACAAAAACGCGTTGAAGAGCTGGATCATTTGATTGTCTTGGTTGAAAATTACCAAGCTTGTCCCAATATTTTGAAACTTCAAAAATATATAGACTACACTGATAAGAAGCTTGTGACATTTTTCAAAGAAATGAAGCAATTTGTCAAGCTTGAAACGGATATCAAAAGACGATCTCTAAGAAGAAGATTAGGATCTACTGCTCATGATGATGATGACTCTGACTTTCTGCAAAAGGTTTTTAAATAGTTTTTACAGTAAATTGAATTGTGTTTTTAAGTACTATATAAAGTAAAAAATATGTTATTTGTGTTTTTAAAGAATTTTATGGATAATTTGAATTGCTTACAAATAAATTTTACTGCTTGCAATTAATATAAATAAGGACTAAACTTTGTTTTACAGGAGAATGAAGTTCCAAATAGATCTTCTCATAGAAAACGTGAAGAGGACAATGCATCATAACTATGCATTACAAAAAAGTAAGTTCTGATTTGATAAAAAAATTTCCAACAAATTCAAATTTTTTTAATTTGGAAATTTTCATAAGAAAATTTGACGCGAAAAACTTTGTTATTTTATTAAATATTGCTATTGATTACTTTAATGTTTCAAATATTGGCAGGTAAATACAAAAAATTTATTTATTTATACAAAGTATTTCTGAAAAATTAGTTTGCAGTGTTCAAAACAAACAGTTTTGGTGAGATGCTATGGTAATGCCCAAAAATAAATTTTTGATAGCTTTTATTATCTTTAATTTGCAAATATGTACTAGATTTTATTTTAAGTTTCGGTCACAGATTGCAAATTTTGAATCAGTATATCATTACCAGGGTACTCTTTTTTATTCCTCTATAATGTCTGATTGTACTATTTTGTTCTCTTTCAGGATGAAATGAATAAGTAAAAGTTTTCATAAATGCATGCTCACCCTTCAAGTTAAGTACAAACTGACAATTTGCTGTAATTATTTATGCAATTATTACTATCAGTTATTCTCTTCTTGCATTACTTTACTTAGGAATACTGTATATTAGCTATTTGAGCTTGTAATTTCAACAATTTGTGCTTAGTTTGTAAAGAACTCTTACTTTGTTGTTGCTTCTCGAATATTTTTGTGTGTTTAGTGAATTGTTATCACTTATCAATTATTCAAATGAGTTTAAAGCTTTGGGCATCAGAAGAATATTTTTTTCAAGAATTGTTTGCTCAGTTTTCCCCAAAATGTATGTGCAATTCAATTTTGTTTGCTATATTGCAACTTATAAAATAAAAATTTTCAAATGAAACAATTGTGTTTAATGTTTTTTTGTTACGAGAAAAACCAGTAAAGTATATTTTATCAATACTTAGATATTCATTTATAAAACAAATTCAAAAGTTTACAGTAGATGAAATGACTTTATAGCATTTAAATTTGCAGTTTTTACTGGGCTGGTAATTTTATGAGAAAACATTGGATCAAATGTTTACTTATTTTATTTTTGACATTGTGGACAATAAAAAAAGTTACGTGGAATACTACGCTTCACAAAATGTTTGAAATTAATTACTGACTATGAACGGAAAATACAATTATCATATTTTAAGAAATATCAAAAGAAAATGTATAATATGTAATACAAAATCAACAAATCATTTAATATTTGGTAATAAAGCAATATTATGCCTTATTGATCATGCGACATTAAATCAAAATGTGCAGATCAAGTTGTAATCTTTGGCGTACGTCACTTTCAAGTCTTTCAGCCACTAAAATGTTTAAAGCACATACTTTTCAAATAACCAATACGTATAAAACGCATGCATTAACAATGACAAGAATTTTTCCTTCAATTTATTTGTTCTTTTAGAAGAAAAAAAAAAATGCAAACTTTACAATTTCGATGAAAAGCATATAAATATATTTCGCTTTCTTCCATCAACTATGAATTATCCTTATTTCTGACATGAAATATTCAAATAGAATGTTTACACGCAATTTGTTGCACACAAAGTCTACTGCTAAAATTATTTGCTTGTACAGATTAAACATAGACGTTAAGGCAACGAAGACTGATTGCAATTCAATTGTTATCATTGCCTTTAATACGAAGCAGTAAAAAAGCAAATTTTATTAAAAAATATAAAATTAAATTAAATTTGTAAAATTAAAATTGCGCAGTTAACTAAGTCCACAATAACTTTTTTCTTTTCTTTGGGACAAATTTTACGTTTCATTTTTACAAACTTTAATTTGCTAGCTATAATTCGTTCGTTTACTTCAATTAAACTGATGCAGTTTTTTTTTTGATTCAATAAATGAATTGGTTTTGTTAAATCAACGAAATTGATCTATATTAGTTGGATATGACTTGTGTGTCATAAAAATGTACTGGAAAATATTTTTTTCATGGCTCTTTACTAAATCTGATATAAAAACTGATTCATTTAATGCAATAATAAGTGTTGCAGTAAAAAGAGAACAAATTATTTAGTAACTGATTACAAAAATCGCCAAGTAATGATTTGTAATTCTTGTATTTTGTATTATTACCGACAGTAAATGTGTGTAATACATGCTAATTAGATCTGATACAATTATTAGATAACTTAAGAAATAAAGTTTTTACAAATAAAAAAATTTTTACAAAATAAAAACAAATAAAAAAAATAATAGATCCAACTCATTTGTATTAATTATTCAAAATATGGAAAAAGATAGATCATTAAAGTTACTAAATTTCGTCAATAAAACACAAAGTTTCAAATATGTGATAAAATAAGAACTGCAGGAAAATTTATTAGATAATTTATAATAATTTTTAAGAATTAGCAAGTATTACACACATTTACTGTCGGTAATAATTTATTTTCCAATATATAATTTAGCGCAATTTAGCAGTCTTATTTATAATTGCCATGAAATGGAATCTTAAGACTGAATTTGACTTACTTTCTTGCCAAACACTTAAAGTTTTTAGTGTAGAAGAATAAAGGTGAGAAATCAATTTTTATTTATTACAATTTGCTTTATTTACCTATAAAATTTATTCAGTACAATAAATATTAATATAAATATTGCAATGACAGATTTACTTAAATCATTTTCACTCACATGCATTGGTTATCAATTTTTATCTTCATTTATTCTTTGAAAATAAGGTATTTTTTTGTCCTTGTTACATATCAGTTTGAAAAAATACTTTCATGCACAAATATCAAACTTTGAGGACTATATAACTTATAGATCTGTTATTTCTATTGTAAGAATCACTAAATTAATATTTTAAATTTGGTTAATATTTGCTAAAGCATTTCTTTAATTACAAATTGGTTTTCTCCAATTTTTCAATTTCAAAATTGTAATTTTTGCTATCCGTTTACTGAAAAGTTTCACATATATTACTTGCAACTTTTTTCAGTGAATTGTTAGAAACACTTCCACTGAGTAAAGAATCGCTTTGCCTCAGAATCACTGTTGGAGGTAGTGTAGTGTTGCTTTAATTTTTATTAGTAATTTATTTTGTCGATACAATATACATTGTAATCGGTGCTACATGCTTAATCTATTTATTTGATTCAAATTATTAATGACAAAAATGATTTTTAACAAATACACTTAAAAGAAATGCAAAAATCTGAATTGTTCTGGGTAAAGAAATTTATTTTGTTAGCATTATTTCAGGTCATGAGTTATGTGCTCTGTTAGATTTCGATAGCTCGAGTTCGATTTTTATGGTTTCTGATTCCGGAATAAATTCTGACTCTTATTATGAGTAATGCTATTTTGTGACAGTAATTGTAGATTTTGTCCAATTAATGATAACAAAATAATATGTAAAATTTGCTTGGAAAAGCTTAAAATTTTAAAGACTAGAAAAAAGTAAATCTCTTGAAAGAGAAAAGTTAAGATGTAACAAAGTGTTTCATAGTGAAAACTAATTTTCAGAAATAATAATTTGCTGAAATAATTTTTATCTTGCATTTTATAAACCAAATAATCCTAAATTTCATCAAACACAAGTTTTCAGTCCAAATTCACCAACAAGAATAGAATTAAATTCAACTGAGCTAACTATATCTAATCTGAAATTTCATGCTAGTCATATTTTGGAGACTATAAAGGTAAAATAATAATTAATTTTATATTTTAATACAAAAATACTCTTTCACTAACAGATATGGTAATACTCTTTCACTAACAGATTTATTAATCTACTTAAATTTACATAGCAGCTCAGCACTTTCTACGATTGAAATTGTACAAGAAACAAATTTAAAACAACAAATATGAATATCAATCTTATTTCTAGGCTTTGAATAGAATATGGACTGATAGTAATCACTTTTCTCAGTAATAATTACCTTAGAATGTATTAACTTGAAATCATTCATAAACTTATAATGAAAAACAGTAATTTTGAAGTAAATTTCGCTAACAAATCTGTTCAAATTGATGAAAGTTTATTTTAAATGTTTAAAAACACATAATTTCAGATCAAAAGCTTTCAAATTTTAAATCAGAGCATACTGACATTAAGTGGCATCGATCAGTCTAATCCTTTCTTCGCTTTCCATCAAATACGAAATGTAATCGCTTTACGTCGCAAATCAAATGTTATTCGAAATTTGCCTTTCCATATACAAACTTTTGTTGAAAGTGGCAGTGAATTATTTCAAAAAATGACAGTTTTCGTGGAAAAGTTTGTGTTTTTAACTTTTATTAGCAAAAATTAACCTCATTTTAATTTATTAGTAATAACTGCAAGAAAGCTAAATTTGTAGTTTAAATATCAAAATTAACACAGGTTTTCAAGTTCTGATTATTAATTTGATAAGTTTCATAAGCAATATTGCAAGTACTATCTCTTATCAAAAATGAATCAAAGTAATGACATTTGCTTCAACAATCATCTTTGTTTTTCCTCAAAAAATTTAACAAAATCCTAAATTTGCATAAATACTCGTAACTTTGTTATGTACTATTACTTCAACTTTTTTATTTATAAAACTTTTCGTCTAGACTTAATTTTAAAATTTGCTTATCAAGTATTAGCTTTCAATTTAAAAGTTGTAATTCTGCTGAAGCCTTAACAAAAATCCCGCTATTGACATTGGTGGATTCGTACATCTTGGCGACGATTCTTTTTGTCTTTGTGGTGACAAGAAAGTAACAGTCAAAACTGTTGATGATGAAAGTTGGTTTATCGAACTTGATCAGTAAGCTTTCATACAAATTCTACGCTAATTATCACTTTATCATTATGAATTTAATTAATACTTTGGTCAAGCCATCACTACTCTTTTTATTCATTCTGCAATTTTTTCCTTTTTTATTAAATTATTACGTTGTGTATTTTAAATGGTTTTGATCATTTTAGATTTATTATTGGTGATGAATATGCGCTAACTTCCAATTTATCAAACATGCAAATAATAATATCACCATCATTACCGTACATAATGCTACCCGACGATTTGTATAACAACTTTTTAACAAAATATAAGATTCGTAATGTGAACAAAATTCATTTTTCTACTGTCTACCGATTGCCAACTCTGAAATTTTTCATAGGTGGACAAGTATTTCGTGTTCCAGCACTCAATTACGCGAATTCCGAACCTGTTAGTTTTTAATTCTGTAATTAATATTAAAAATTAGTCAAAATTAAGACTGATCCAAATATGCACAATTAAACTTTTAAAAAACACAACATATAAGCGTTCATATGGTGCTTTTTTGTTATTTAATTTTTATCGTGTTGAAATTATTGGCAAACATTAATTCATATTTTAGCTAATAATAATTAAATTTACAGAATAAAAATTTATTCCTCATCAGATCAAACAGAAATACGGAATTTGAGAGCGATAATATTATTTATTTGGGACGAGCTTTCTTGTATGGAGCATGTCTTCACGTCAATAACATTGATGGAACAGTAGCTCTTTCCAAACCAATTAAAAACTAAAATCTAAAGTGCTCAAATGTCAAATGTCAAGTTTATTATTTTATATATTTTAATTTTTTATTGACACCAGTGACATGTGATTGCTCTACATCCATAATTGTTGTAAATCAGATTTATGTAATGAGCAGTAAATTGTTATAAATTATTAGTAGTAACATGTAAATGAATACAACAGTCGAAAGAATGAAAAACAAAATATTAC